GTATCGTCATGTCGGCGCACTGGTTCACCGCTGTCCGGATTGTTCGCCATAGCTTGAAGTCGTCCGCATAGATTAGACACGAGCTACTCAACGTTGATAGTATGTCGTTTGCATAGATCAGGAACAGCACTGGGCCAAGATCGGAGTTTTGTGGGCACAACTAGTGAATGTACCACGCAGATTGCGCCTGTATAACTCTCACTGAGGTTCTCCCTTTCAGGAAATCCTCCAGCCAATGAAGTGCGGACCCTGTGACACCCAGAGCCCTGAGTTTAGCAAGCAACCTGTCGTGAGATACTTTGTCGAACTCTTTGCCGAAGTCAACGAAGATACCGTCCGTACCATGTCCCTTGTCCTTACCTCTAGACCAACGTTTCCGAGCAAGCAGCAAATCTGTCATGCAGGAACGCCTCTGAAGGAATCCATGTTGTTCCTTACACATCCACTGGTGTCGCTCAAGGTAATTCGTAAACCTTGAAACCACAAATCGTTCCATCGTTTTGCTGACAACAGATGTAAGGCTCACGGGGCGGTAGTTCCCTGGTGCAGCTNATCGGAAGCACAACTCCATCAATCAATGCTGGGACACCAGCTCTAGTTCTCGTTCGTCGCTTTAGGTAAACAATTAGACGTTTAGGAGCCCTCACTTAGTCAGCTGTCAGCTTCTCCTCGAAGGTTCTCTGCTTGGATCGTTTCAACTCCGTGCACTTTTTCCGAGTTCTCCCGTAGAAGTCATAAACTGCACTAGTGGCCCGAAAAGCTCACCAAGCGCGATTCCGGCGCCAGAGTAATCATCTTAATTCAGGATCAAACCAAATTACTGGGGCGAACGTGTCAGTAAGGTAGAGGATACCGTCCCGAATGCGCTCCCACACCACCTCTACGTCATTCGCCTCGTTAAGTATTGGTGGAAGCTATGGCGGCCGCTCGTGCCGCGTCAAGCTGTGTGCGCCATACATTTAAACCTCCATGTAATCCCAGGGGTGCGTGGGTAGCATTCCGCCAAAGAATAGCCAATATCATATGGTCACTGCACTCTAACGGAGGGTGGTGCTCGATCTGTTCTATATTGGAACTCCTCGGCGATATCACCAGGTCTAGAATCGATCCCCGTCCGCCCTACTGCCGCGTCGGCGACTGCACATGTTGACACAAGAAAAGCTCCTTTAAGGTACACAACAATTCGCGAGAGAAGTAATCCGCACCGGGTCTGGTCAGGCTTACGACCCAGTCCACGTTGGGAGCGTTGAATTCCCCGAGATTAAGGCACCGACTGTCACTTGCCCATCTATGCAGGGTTGTCAGGATTTCGAGGACGTCTGCCGCTGGGGTTCGATATAATACCCCTCTGCTCACATATCCGCCTGATGTTAGCTTGGCACGACACCAGACCGCTTCTCCGAAACCTTGTGGGTCCGCATATGTTTTCAGTTGTACCACAGGGACGCCAGATCGGACGAACAGTGCTACACCTCCTTCACTTTGTTCAGGGTATTTGTCGCCTCGAAGCATGGTATACCCGGTAAGAGCGAGTCCTGGGCCCACAAATTGTCAATTTCTCTGTGACATTAGTCCATTGAAATTGTAAAGTTTCCCTTGGATCATAATTTCAACCGTTCCTGTCTTTTTGCTAATGTTCACCCAAATGGGCTACCAAAACCGGCGCACGATAGTAGATGGTTAATGGTTGTATAAACTGAAACTAAAACTGTTTGACGGAACATTTAGATCTTTGCGTTAGGCTGCCAGAGGACATGTTCTCGCCCGGTTGGCAGTCAAACGCAAAGCGTAACTAGATGTTCGTGAACCACTGAGTTGTATCTTTAATGAAGAAGATTTAGGTAATAATATCATAGTTTGCAGCGAATCATGATGCCCTGTTGAAGAGTGAGTTTAGTATCCTACGTCCTTTATATAACCTCTCGTTGCCGTTGAAATGGAGACACTGTTACTATTACTTTGAATGATAAAAATCATACTGTTCCTTTTCAGACATTTGCAAAACTACTTTTCTGATAACACGGCTGCATTCAGAAGAAATAGAAAAGATACAATTCTATCCTTGTAGTTTCTTCCGATAGAGGAGCAGCCTGCCAAATCGATAGGCTAGTCCATAAACGACTGTTGCTGCAGCAGTTGGCTGCGGAACTATCAACCATAGTTAAACAGTGCACTGATAAAGCTGTTAAATAATTATTGACTTACCTTTATTTGACAACTTGAGGGTAAAAACCAATTGACACCAAATACTTCATAATTTTTGTGCAGTGTAACTCGCAGAAGAATACTAACGCTTTTCAGAGTATTGATTCCCGCCTCCCTCGATGGAAAAATTCGAGTGTCGTCTTGCTTCGAAAATTCCAGATTTCCCGACAGTAGTTCATCAGATGGATAAATTGAAGTTTCCAACAGATCCTTGCGGCTGAATGAGGAACCGGACCAGGCCAAAATTGAAGTTCTGTTGGTAATCTTGTTCTTGACGAAAAATGCTGCCACAGATCCCTCTGGAAGAATTTCGAAGTTTTGGAATTCTGCCCACCGTATCAACTGCATGGGACAAATTGCTGTGCATGAGCAATATCATTAAATTGTTCCCACTTACTAAATCCATAAAAAGCGGGTGTCAGTGGTACGAAGAAGTGGAAAACCGCTGTTAAAATGTAGAAAATCAGTGATTTTGAAAGGAGTGATGCACGAAACGATTTATGTTCATAATGATGAAAAATTTCAACCATTGCGGTACATAAAGCGCACTGACAACGTCCTTGTTTAGTTTCGTTAGTGAAAACAAACAAATAGGTCAGGTCAGTTCAGTTTTCACAGGACGAATTCTGGCTCTTGCCAATCGAGCGTCCAGATTAGTGNGTTTCCTTGGCTTCCAACACTTCGATATGCAATTTTTCTGAAAGGCAGAAATATGTGGTGCAGTATCTCATCCACCAGATATGTAGAAATGAAATACATTATTACAGGAACGACTCACCTTATTACGTTATTGTCCCTCAAATGGCCAGCTCCGGGAAAACCACATCCCAGCACAGATCCAAGGCCTTTTTGAAGGCTATAACTGTTCAGCCGCTTACAACATTTTCCGGCAATCTGTTCCACAAGGGTACTGAAGTTTACCGGAGTTAACGGCCTTCCAGTATATCTTCTTACGGGTCTCAGTATCGCGCGACCTCCTAGTGTCTCGT